CATTTCAAATTCCAAATGTCAAGGGTTATTTTACGTGCACACCCAATGTGAGCACAATATCTTGTTTTTTTGTCCAATTTGAAGGACTAGAAACTGTCTTTGCCAGGTTCTCTGTCCTACACCACTAACAAGGGGAACTTTCTCGACCAACATGGGGGTAACTTTGGCTAAATGGGTAAGACACTGGCTCGCTAGCCTGGAGGTCGGGTGTTCGATCCCTGCATTGGCCGAGAAAGTTCATCCAGATTTTCCGGCGCGGTTTCCCCTTAGGAGGGCCTAACAAGAACAGCTGTCTAGTCATTCGGATGGGACAAAAAACACGAGGTCCCGTGTACAAACTGGAGTGCACGTAAAAGATCCCTTGGCAGTTGGAATTCAATATAAGGGCAAGGCGTAGCGCCGCTGCCCGGGCAAAATTTCCCTCATAGCACACTGTATGGCGTATGCCCGAACCCCACATTTGCTAGCCAGTGTGTTACTAATTGAGTGACCGCGGCTCCTTCAGAAAAGGAGGTTAAATCCAAAACAGAAGTTTGTGAAATGTAGGTTTATCCTCATGGCCACAATGCTTCATACCAAATTTGAAAATGATCTGTCAACTGTAGCATCCACTGAACGTATAATAATAAAATTATTGAAATGAAAGAAATGAAATCGGTTTAACGCCCTACTGTTCTGCTGCGACTGCGCTAATGAAGACGGGCATGTGCCATACAATGTGCTATGAGGGAAATTTTGAACCGGCAGCGGCACTACGGCCTAATAATATCAAATCCAACTGCCAAGGGATCTTTTCGTGCATGCCAATGTATACATGGGACCTCGGTTTTCTGTCCTTTCTGAGTGACTAGTCTACTGTCCTTGTCAGGCTCCCCGTTCCTGCCCCTCTGACAAGGGGAAACCATGTCGGAAAATCCTGATGAACTTTCTCGACCAATGCAGGGATCGAACACGTGACCTCCGGACTACCGAGCCAGCATCTTACGCACTTACCGTGGCTTTATCAAAATTAGTAATGAAGATGTGCTATGACAGAAATTTTGCCTGGACAACACCTACTAATGAAGATGTGTTGCCTGGAGAGCAGCATTTCCACATATAGATTAAAAATAGTTCTAAGTGCACGCCCGCCTGTAAAAGAGGTTTTGTATTTGCTCATGGACCAAGTAACTTTAATTTAAATACACTTTTCCATCATTACCAATTACTAGTCTGCGGGTTCACTAGTCCGCGGGTGCACTTATCTGTGCGTTCACTAGTACACTGGTGCACTAGTCTGCCGCTGTAGGTATGATGACTGATATCACCCTTCGTAAGGCGATAACTCAACATCACAGCATTTTAACCCAACATCACAACATGTTAACCATTATAGCATATGCCCTTCTTCATTAGCCCACTTGGAGCAGAATAGTAGGACGTTCAACCCCATTTAAAATTCATTTTCATAATTTTCTGCACCAATCGGACTATTGAAGATAGTCATACGCGATGCAGAGTGCTATGACAGAGATTTTCTATGGACTGTGGCAGGGTGGAGGATCTGGCAAGGGATAAGGTATAGTTTTTCGGATCGTACGAAAAATCAAGTCCCCATGTACATATTGGCATGCACGTAAAAGACACTCCGACAGTTGGAATTCAATATCAGAGTAGGCCATAGTGCCGCTATCCGGGCAAAGTTTCCCTCATAGTATTAGTAAACTGTATATAGTGTATACCTGTCTTCATTAGCTCAATAAGAGCAAAACAGTAGGATGTTCAATCTCATTTCATATCATTTTATTTTCCTACTTTTCGGCACCAATGGAACTATAGAAGATAGGCTGGCCAGCGGACGAGTGCACCCGTTGACTATTGAGCATCATGGAGTCAAGTGAAGGTTAAACCCCATTTCTCTCTCTCTCTCCCTCTCTCTCTCTCTCTCTCTCTCTCAATTTTGATACCCAAAAACTTGACAAAACAAATAATGATTGTCGGAAACTGTTTCATAAAGTAGAGTTGTTCTCTACCAAAAAGTTATCACTGTCCAAGTGTTCGGAGTCGTCTCCACTTAGGCCGACAATGCATGAAGTGTTTTTATAATTAAAGTTATTAAATGTAGTACCTTGCACCAGTAAATATAAAATTAATGATCCTTGCACTAGTAAATATAAAATTCAAGATTATTTATATAAGGCCTTCATGTATGTTTGTACAAGTGTACATTCTTGTAATTGTATTACCATTAACAATATGGAGTTCAATTATACTATTCAAAAAAAGTAGGGGATATTTGATTTTTAAGTGTTATTAAAGTCACCTAATGAAACTGACGAAGAAACAAATGACAAAATGAAATGGCCTGTAACACGCCCTGCAACAACATGTAAAGCCGTTCTTCCAGCAACAGTGATTCCTCCCCACACCATAACAGAACCACCCCCAAATCGATCATGTCTGATGACGTTAACGTCTTGGAAGCGCTCGTTTCGACGACGCCACACCCTCCTACGTCTGTCCAAAAAATCAACAGTAAACCTTGACTCATCTGAAAACATCACATTGCTCCAGCGTCGATTATCCCAGTGTTGACGATCCCTACACCAACGACGTCTTGCCTGAATGTGATGATCTCTCAAACAAGGGATCACGCGAGGACGTCGGGCGCGAAGGTGACCCCTATGCAGTCGATTCCGAATCGTCTGGCCACTCACTCTCACACCAGTGTCTGTTTGAAGACGAGCGCTGATCTGATTTGCTGTGATGACACGATTTCTCAAGGCCAAGGTACGGATAAATCGATCCTGGGCTTGAGTTGTCGCCCTTGGTCGACTTGAGCGTGGTCTGTCCTGTACAGATTGTGTATCACGGTATCTGGACCATAGCCTGCTTATGACAGACTGAGAAACATTCATCGTCCGCGCCACAACCGCCTGTGTAGTGCCGATCTGTAGCATGCCAAGGGCACGTAACCTTTCATTTTGGGTAAGCCAACGCATATCAAAATTTGTTTTCTGGTCACTAAAACAATTAAACTGATGTTTCCATCCTGGAATTCAATGCCACAATGACTGTAACATTCAAAGTCAGAGTCGTGCAAATCTTGGGTTGGACCCCCATGATGATCCCAAGCATCACCTGCATTCCATGCGGTAGCTATTGGTGCGTTTGGGCGTCACATGTAACTGGAAATGTTTCTTCTGTTAGGTTCTATAGTGACTTTTTTCGTAGTCATTTGCATATTTTAGTATCATGCCCCCAAAATCAAATATCCCCTACTTTTTTTGAATAGTATATAATAACCTTTTGCCTTGTTCATAAATCCTTACCTTTTTTAAAATTTAGTTCTTAATATGAAACTATCTAAATAAAATACTGCTTAAATCAATATGTGTTGTTACTGTCAATCAAGATGGCGGCTATCTACATATACAATATATAAAATAGGTCACGAGTCGATTGTTGCGGTTTGTTTTATTTCGAATTTAAAAGTTCAACACTTAATCATTTAAGTTGTAAAACCCTATAAAAATAAAGCTTATAAAAAGGTAGGGCCAACATGTAGATGGGTGAATTGAAAAGTGTGGTATTGCTAAGACTAGTTCCGGTTTTTTTTGAGTTATGAGTCTGAACAAATAGATCATAATGACCCAGTTATGGCCCTTGATTATATGAAAACGGGCCATAACTCACGGCGTAATTAACAGAAATTGCTGAAATTCAATAGGCTTCTTCGTTTCACTAATTTAAATGATGCATATCAATTTCAAACAGATCAGATGATAACTGTTAATCCAGGAAGTTATGGTCTTGCATGCGCGAATATCGACAGGAACTGAGATCTTTAGGTTATAAAATGGATACAAATTGTGACCTCTAGAGTGTCCACAAGCTAAAAACGTGATTTGTTGTACAATCAGGGGTCATAATCCATTCAGTTATTGTCCGATATAAGCGAATAACGAAAGGAACCAAGATCTTTGGGATATAAACATACATTTTAAGTTTCTTCAAAATCGGATCAAAACTGTGACCTCTAGAGGGTCCACAACCTTTGTATTACATACTTGTACACAAATTTGTGTAGAAGGAGCGGCAATTTTGTCGGCCAGTTTCGGAGCAATTTTTACGAAATTCGATTTCCATCATTATTAAGATGTAACACTGATATATTTAACTTTTTTTAAAATCAGATAAAAATTGTGACCTCTAGAGGAACCAGAAGCTAAAAATGTGATTTTTCGTACAATCAGAGGTAGTAATTATCAGAAATTGTTGAAAATCGAAAATTTTCCTCATCTGAACAAAGCACTATGCATCAATTTCAACTCATTCAGATGATAACTTTAGCCTCTAGAGTGTCATCCTCGGTATCCGCAGTGGCATATTTCCGTTCTACTCCACTAAACCCTGGTTCCATTCATGAGGTATTTACGAATTCAAATTATCTGCCCATGATGATTTCATTGGCCATGTACGTTGATTCTGCGAACCAATCAAAAAAACAGTTTACACACCAGTCATTGTTTAGGTTCTCCACAATACAGCAGCATGTGCGCTCAATTATGACTAAGTTTACAACAACTATTTGCCAATCTTAGTTGCAATCTTCCCTTCACCCACTCGCTTTCTTTTTATGAATTTTTTTTATTGGTCGATAAATATAGCTCAATTATCAAGGGTGGATAAGTTGACTATGTGTCTCCCCTTTAAATGGACCCAGGTGTTAGTGAAGTGGAAGTTCCACTGTGGAACAGAATGATATGACTTGGGATACCGAGGATGCTAGAGTGTCTACAACACAATATAACCACATTTCAATAAGGGGCATAGTGGTATTGCTAAAAGAAGCAGTTCAAAAAGGCAAGAGCCACTCTCGGGGGGTCTTTCTTTGGAATATTTGTTGATCAATGGCTATTCTAGTCTGTGAAGGAAATGACCTGCCCAGACAACATCTGTAAAGCCTGACAACCTACAGTCCAAGCAACTTTTATTTTGACTATGAAAAGCTTACATACTATTTTCTCCATCTCTGTGTGAAACTGCCAGATGTTTTTCTAGTATAATTCTAGCTAATAAAGCCAGTGACAAGTCTACCTAAAAAAGTTAGCAAACCAAGTATAAATGCTTAAATACTAGAGGAAGATTTGGATCATATTGCAATTTTCCATAGCAAACAAACTGTAAGAAAAATTGGTGGCGATTCAACAGTGATGATAATACACCACACAGAATGAACGTATGACAATATTTACCTCATCTGCCATATCTAAAAGTATGTGTTGGCGACCTTTAGAAACACCATCTTTGTATCTGAAATATAACAATATGGTTCAAATTTCTTTAATTCAAAAATGCACAACATTTCAACTATCATACAGATAGGTTGCCAGGCAACGAAACATACGCCCACAGCAGCTAAGTTGTCCGGGGAGTCAACAAGGGTTGTCGCATATTTTTTTTCCTTTAGGCAGAAATGAAAACATTTATAACACACTAAAATCTGATTACAAGTGTTCAACCCATTTGGTTTCAAGTTCTGCCCTATTCTAATATTTAGCATACAAAACATTTAATATCAGTTGCCATAATTATTGGAAATCGTTGAAAATTGATAGGCTTCTTCGTCTCATGACCTTAAATTTAAACACTGTATTAAATACAAGAGCATTGCTAACGCTGCAATATACATCCACATTCCTGCTTTGATTGATATGGTACTTTTTAAATTTTGCCAAATTTACAGACAAAATATTAACAAAAAAGTGGGCATGACACTGCCCCATGGGGTCGGGGCATGCACCAAAATAAATAGGTACTGTCTTTAAGGAATAAATATGCAAAGTTCCAAGATGATCCATTCAGAATTATAGCCTGTAGACGATAAATACAAAAATTAGTGTGGCTCTGTCTCTGGGGTTTAGATATGGAACAATATAAATAGGTACCACCCTGTTAATGAAATGATTGATATGCTCAATTTGAACAAAATCTGTTCATTATTGGAACCTATAGATTATTTACGGATAAAAACTTACAAAGATAGGTTGCCAGGCAACAAAACATACGCCCACAGCAGCGAAGTCGTCCGCGGGGTCGACAAGGGTTGTCGCATATTTATTCTTTTATAGGTAATTAGGGGAATTTAATAGACAATTTCATACAGATGACATTATAATTTTCGTCGTTTGAGGGTATACAAAGTTCTGAAGATAGGTTGCCAGGCAACGAAACATACGCCCACAGCAGCTAAATCGTCCGGGCAGTCAACAAGTGTTGTCGCATATTTTTACTTTTTTAGGTAATGAAACATTTATAATACCGGTACACTAAAATCTGATTAAGAGTAACAACTCATGATGTAATTATCAATCTGAAGTCAATCGGATGATAACTTTAGCCTCTAGAGCATCACAAGATCAAGGGCCATAACTTTGGCAGTAATTATCGGAAACCGTTGAAAATCAATTGGATTCTTTGTCTCATGACCTTAAACACTGTGTATAAATTTAAAGTCGATCGGATATTAACTTTAGCCTCTAGAGGGTCCACAAGATTTTTCAAAGTGATCAAGAGCCATAACTCTGGCAGTAATTATTGGAAATCGCTGAAAATCAATAGGCTTCTTCGTCTCATGACCTTAAACACTGTGTATAAATTCAAATTTAATCGGATATTAACTTTGACCTCTAGAGTGTCCACAAGACTTTTGGAAGTGATCAAGACCATAACTCTGGTAGTAATTATCGGAAATCGCTGAAAATCAATAGGATTCTTTGTCTCCTCGTGACCTTAAACACTCTGTATAAATTTAAAGTCAATCGGACATAAGCAATTGTGGTCGCCGGACCGCCGGACGTACAGGGGCGACTGTTAGTGTTATTTTATTGGTCTGTGTATTGGAAAAGGTCAAGGTCTTGTGAATAAATATGGCGGTCAAGATTAGTTGTTTTTAATATCTGGGTGGAAGTTTTCATGGTAGCAGAGCGTGAGAAAAAATGATAGTGCTTGTGTTGAGGTTATTTAATAGATGATAGAAGTGAACATTTAGTGAATTGAAGGAAATATTCCAGAACATTGTCCGCGGCGTTTTTTGTCGGGAAAACGAAGAGAACAAGACATTTAGTGAGTGATTTGTAAAGAATAGGCGATTATGGCGACTACAGAACTCCACCTGCGTTTACAGGCTTAAAACCCTATAACAGGTGGGTGGATGAAGTAAAAGTTTAGCAGACTGTTACTGAGCCCTTATTGGTACCTTAGACAGACATACTCCCCTTAAGAAGCGCACTGTTACCATCAGACCCTACAGTAAATGGTTCAATGATTCCCTTTTAACATTAAAACACCAATGTCGGAGTGCCGAAACCAGCTGGCGAAGGTCAGGTCTAGTAGTGCACCGTCAAATATACAAATGTAAACGTAACCAGTACTCATCTGAGTTAAGATCAATCAAGATTAAAAATATCTTCAAGATCTTATTACCACGCCTAGTAACTCTAAAACACTGTTTCAAACTTTCAACAACCTTACAAAAGACCCTTCTGGGGATAAGTACCCATCATGTTTTGACAAAGATACTCTACCAGAGATTTTATCTGACTTTTTTTATAAGTAAGATAAACAAAATCTGTGATCAGTTTCCCGATGAGACCGAACAACATATCTCCTTACTTGACAGTGTAGATGATTCAAACCGATTAACATTTAATCCAGTTTCTGTGATAAATCTCAAGAAAATTATTCGAAATGCTCCCACAAAATCATGCGATCTAGACGCTATACCAACATGGCTCTTAAAGATATGTTTACCACACCTGCTTCAGATATTATTCACTTTAATAAATGACTGCATCTCTAGCTGCCAGTTTCCGACTGCATTCAAAACAGCCCAGACTGTCTTAAAAACTACCGACCGGTATCAAATTTATCGTTTGTTTCGAAAGTCATCGAGAAAGTTATTGCTGAACAACTCAAAGAACATCTAACTCATGAGAATCTCTCAGAACCATTTCAGTCCGCATATCGAGACAATCATAGTTCTGAAAGTGCACTAGTCAGAGTGAGTAATGACTTATTGCGTGGTATGGACAACAAGTGTGTCATATTGTTTGTTTTACTTGATCTTTCTGCAGCAATCCACACTATTGATCATCATATTTTACTTCACAGGCTCAAATATAGGTTAAAATTATCTGACTCTGCTGTAAAGCTTATTCAGTCATACTTATCTAATCGCAATCAGATTGTATGTGCAGGCAATGCTAAATCAAATCCAGCCCAAGTAAAATTTGGTGTTCCCCAAGGATCGGTCTTGGGACCAATTCTGTTTACTATCTATACCTCTCCCCTTGGTGAAATCATCCGCAAAGACGGGGTGACTACCATCTTTTTGCAGATGACACTAAACTCTATCTAATAGGACCACAATGTGATATTCCAGACAGCAATTGGAACGCTGCATTGAGAGCATCAAAATATGGATGACTGCAAACTTTCTTAAACTGAACTCTGACAAAACAGAGTGCATGACCATTTGCTCAAAATCATATGTTTCATCAATAGATAGTCACCCCATTCATGTTGGAATTGATCACATCAGCCCTGTTCAATCTGCCAGAAATGTGGGTGTAATGTTTAACACTACCATGGATATGTCAAAACAAGTTGCAGTGGTATCAAAGGCATGTAACTTCCAGCTGTTCAACATTGGTCGTGTACGAAAATACTCAAATACTGATTTAACTAAACTGTTAGTGAACTCTTTAATCACATCTAGATTGGACTATTGTCCAGCTTCTTCTCTTCGCTCACTATAAAAGATACAAAACACTGCTGCACGTCTGATCACCAGAACAAGACTACGCAACCACATTACACCTGTGCTCAAATCCCTTCACTGGCTCCCCATAAACAGACGTATTCAATATAAGATAACCATCCATGGTTTAGCTCCTAACTACCCGAACAACTCGATCAACATCAAAACACGACCTTGTTATTCCAAAAACTTTGAAAGTGTCATGTGGTGATAGGGCATTTTCAGCGGCAGCACCCATCCAATGGAATAAACTCCCAGCAACATTAAAATAATCCAGAATTTTAGAATCCTTTAAATTATCCTTCAAGACTTACTTATTTAACTGTGAATACCAAACGTGACAGTGCAGCTCAGGGCCATCGAGTAGAACAGTTCTAGATGAGAGGCGCTATACAAATTCATTATTATTATTATTATTATTATTATTATTATTATTTTTAGCCTCCAAAACAAATTTTTTGTTGTAATGAGTTATATTTATTCTACTGTTAAAATCATGATATTTGATTCCAATAGACAGACAGTATAAATCAATACAATCAAATTGATATAAAAAAATGTTTCTAACACCTTCTGTTGCCGAGAAATAACCAATTTTGTCAACATAGCTTTTTACGAATTTTCGCATTTTAATTTCAGTTTATGGGTTCTGGGTTAACTGATTATTGCCTGATTTGTATAAAAGAAAAGCTCATATGCTCTGTGGTGCAAATTCTCAACTTTTTTCTGCCGTTAAGTTTTCTGTGGGCACCGGAAGTGACGTAATTTTGTCCAAAACTTCAATTTTGACGTGTCGAAAGGTCTTGTGAAAAGAAAATATTAATGTTTACAAATCCAAAAGATCAAGAAGAATGCTCCTACTAAAGATGTGAAATGTTTCGGCTTAGTTTTTTTTATTTCGGTTTTGTATTTGTGCCATTATGATTTAAAGGTGAAGAAAAGGTGTAAATATGAGCTATTTTATAAAAAATACATTGCATTCAGGCTTTTTATATTTTAAAATATTTCTTGACAACTTTCATATAAACCTGTAGCAAAAATCCCAACGAAGACTATGTATGTCAAAATTTATTTGTAATATTAGCAGATGCCGAGAAATAGACAACTTTTCATGAGTCACTTTTCACGTAATTTTGCCTGTAAAGGAGTTAATTAAATGAACAATGAACAAATAGAATGAACCCATGCGAACATATAGATATCGCAAAATGGTTTCTAACTTGTACGGTTGCAGAGAAATAGACGATTTACTACAAGTCACTTTTCAAGGTTTTTGGTCTATAAAAGTGTCAATTATTATTCGATTTTTATAAAATTTCATACCATGTGATGCCTTATGGCATTTCTGATTTCGTAGAACTAATTTAACATTTTCATTATCACCGAAAGTAATGTCATTTTGGCAAAAACTGTATTTTTAGCCTTCAAAACGATATATTTATCATTCGTTTAAAATTATATTTGATTCCAAGTGACATATAGATTGGATCAA